TCAAAATGAGTGTTCCTGTTAAGGTGCATGATTTTCAAGAGAAAAGGTGAGAGTAACTAAATGAAAAACTAAACTTGTGAGTGCAATTATATGTGTGGAAGAGTTGTTTAACAGCCCAAATGATCTCACCTGTTCAGATTAAAGTCTCATAGAGCTTCTGAAAAGAGCCTTTGCCTTCAGTGAGCTTCATATCACCAGGGAATATTGTTGACACCATCTGCAAAATATCAATTACTGAATAAAAAAATGCAGTATTGTTGGAAAAAAAGAGCTTTTTAAATGATCGTTTAGGTATCGAAATCAGTACTGAGTATCAGGTCTATTCTTTAGCACTGAAATTGAGTTTGAAATGTTAGTATCGTGACACTAACACCAGTGACGGGAAGGATACTTTGAAAATGTATTTTGTTACAGAATATTGGATTTTGTAACATATTCTGATACATGGGCCAATCAGAGTATTGTATTCTGAACACTTTTGCATCATGTTGCTTTTAAATTAAGGCACAACATAGTAAACAGCTTTATATTCGCCTCACTGCTTTAAAAAAAAAAATAGTAATAATCACACATGCCTCACCACAAGAGCAGAGTTTTATATTTTTCTCACTGATTCTGTTGCTGTCTGCAGTTTGAAGTCAAAATTACATGATCAAATAACGTAATGTATTCCTTTGATTTTAGAAAAGTAACTGTATTCTGAATATTATCAAATGAAAAAGTAATTATACCTGAATACAATAACTCTGAATTATTTAGAATATGTATTTTTGGTACATGTACTTACTACATCAACTTGACAAGATAAGTGTGTTTTTCTTAATTCTAACAACATTAGATTTTGTTTCTTATTGTGCAAAGAGTTTTTCTTATCTTAAACGCAGCAAGACGTGTTTTTCAAATTACGAAAAGTCTTGTTCCATTGATAGACTTTTTAAAAAAAATATTACTATTTATGTATTTACTTTGGGCAAGTAGAGATTTACCTTCTTATACAGTGGAACATATAACATAAGTGAAATCATAATAGAAATAAAAATAACCACAACAAAAAAAATGTCCCTAGATAATTTTACTTGTCAAGTGAAATTTACTGAAATCATGAGAAGTGTAAATAACCTTGAGTATCATTTGTCTTGGTTAAAATCTCTTGTGACATTTTTAATTATTATTTTTATATTGCACTATTTTCTGTTGTTAATCATTAACTTACGTGTTTATGTTTAGTGCTTTTATTTTGAAGGGTTTAGTTTCATTTAATTGACAACGAGAAGGGAAAAACGTCATACGGAGCAAATGTATACACGTATTTTTTTTTGTATTTTCTTTGAAGAGGTACAAAGGTATGTTATTGATATAAATATATATATTTTTGAATAACTTTGTGTCTCTAGTTTTTATCATTGTTGATTGATGTTGTCAAGATGAATGTAAATAATAATCAAACTTGCATTGAGTTTTGTGTATGCGTATTTACACTCTATTTTGTATTCCTTTTAGCTCTTACTGCAGATTGGAGGATTTATTTCCATTAAATCTAAAAATGGCCAGTTCAAGTGTGAGTTTTCAATCAGAGGGATACGTTACAATAAGATTACTTGAATTAAGAAAGTTTTAACCTGGATAGATTTTAGATTAAGTAAGTAAGGAATACATAAAACCAAAAATACGTATTCTGGTTATTTTTACTTCTATTATGATTTTACTTATGGTATATGTTCCATTGTATAAGAATGAAAATCTCTGCTTGCCCAAAATAAATACATAAATAATAATAAGACTTTTCGTAATTTGAAAAATGTCTTGCTGCGCTTAAGAAAAGAAAATACCCATTAAATAAGATACAAAATGTTGCTGGAATTAAGAAAAACACACTTATCTTGTCAAGATGAAACTACTCAAATAAAGCAAAATCATTAATCATCATTGCACTTCCCAACACTGACTCACACATATAAACTAGACATTTATAGAGTTTATATTTGACTTCACAGCATCATTTCTGCTTACAGGATTCGTAATAGTGCAGAGACAAAGCCCTGCGCTCATCAGTACTTACAGCTACTCACTCAGAGGAGGAAGAGGGTCAGGGTCCTGAGTCAGCTCAAACACAGACATCCACACAGCAACGCCATATAGTTTTATGACCCTGTGTCTCCCATCGTCCAGCTCCAACCGGGTCTGATGAAGAGCCCCTGATCATTATTTCATGCCCTTCACATAAATATTGAATCAAATAAATAAATGAAAACACAACACAAATATCCACCTATAGAGCACGGTGAGTCAGAGATTGTGTGCTCATTTAAAATTCATTACAGGCAGCGTGAACAGTCCATATAAGGGCAGAGAGAGACACTTTCAGATGTAAAAGTTACAGAATAGAGCTTTAAAAACACATTAAAAGGCCTACATTATGCCAATTTAAAAAAAAATATATACAAAAAAGTCTATGTTATAATGTTGTTTCGTCATCACAAACAGACCCGGAGTTGTGTTTTGTTTCATTCACACATTTAATACACAACACCTACTTATTTAGGTTCAGTTCTTCACAACAGAAAACACCCTGCTCCACCTTGTGATGTCACGTGGTAATACAGGAAATGCTCTGCTGTGTTTTTAAACTCCATACACCTTCACTAGAATCATTTAGACGATTTCAACCCTGGATCTGCCCATTTCTACAGAACAAAAGGTAAAAAAAAAAGGAGCTGTTATGTTTAAAGTACCACTTTATGACATCACAAGGCAGAACAGAGCAATTTGAGTTTTGGAGATGCAGACAGACTAATAATATCAATAATACAGGATTACTCGGACATGATTGAAACAAAACACAACTCAAGGTATGTTTTTTTTATGATGTAACAACATTAGAACATGACTTAAAGCTCACAGGAGGAAATTTTGCACACTGTAGGACCTAGTGTCACATTTTAAACTTTAGTCCATGTTAAGTCCTTTAAGTGTGTTTAATTGTTGTGATTTTTGTGAGTTTCCTGTGCGCATAGTTATCTACAAGGACACAGAGTTATGAGACTGGACAAACTAATCACTCCTCCCTTCTTGTGATGAGTGACTGGCAGGGAACACTTGTTTTTGGCACTTTATATTATAATTTTTTCCTCTTTTAAAGGTTAAATTGTGTAATTTTTCTGTTGGAGGGTCTGTCAAATGCTTTTTTAAATGGAAGATGTTATTACTCTGTCTGAAATGTTCCACAGTACAGCATTAAACCTGCCTATCTTCATGAAAACCAAACCAGACCTAGGTACAAGTCAGATCTGTGGAAAGGCAACCCGCTCACAGTCAGAATGCCTGTTTTTTAAGTATTTTTGAGCCATAAAAACACTTGTAATTTAATAAATGTAAGGTAAATACTGTGGAATATTCAAGGCAGAGCAATGACATATCCATAGAAACAAGCAGGTGATGAAACCCTAACCAAAAAGTTACACAGTGCATCTTTCTTTCAGTCTTTAACACTGAACAAATTCAACACAAATTCAAATCCATGTCAACCTGTGATAATGAACAAAGCTTACAACTTCCTGTAAAAATGGGCATAGCGTTTTCCCATCTTTTTGTCCAAGCACAAAGGATTCCAGGAACATATTTTCTTAAGTACTGTGGAAATGGTGAGGTGTGGCCAGCCACAGAGCAGCTTTTCTCCGGATTCCTCAGTTTTATGGCCGCAAACAGTGCAGAGCTTTCTCATCAATAAGCTCTAACTGCTTAGTGGCTGGGCGCTTGTCCGGTCAATGGCTGACAGGAAAGAAACTGCGGGGGGTAAAACAGATCTATACACCAGCACACGGTAGTACACTCACTGGACAAGTTTATGGCATGTCAGCCTGTCGCCATAGTGATGAGCCAGTTGCAACGCTTTGTGTGTTCAAAAGCTTTTATATAAGACAAAAACACACTTAAACACAAGGTGAAGGCTCAAATATAGTGAAAAGGCATTTGAATAAAATAAAATGGCAAAACAAAATCTGCGTATAATATACAAATGCATTTAAACTGAACAAAATGTGAAATTGTTTAAGGTCCTGTATTACACAAAATGGAGTCTTGTGAGCTTTAAGTTTTAAGATGTTGTTACCTCATCAAAAACATACATGGAGTTGTGTTTTCTGTTTGAGCAAAGAACTCAGCCTAAATATGCAGGGTTTGTGTGTTAAACATGTGTAAATGAAGCAAAACAAATCTCCAGGTCTGTTTTCGATGAGAAACATTGTAACAGATCAGAAAATAGCTCAATATGGACCCTTAAGACTCAGGAGTGCTCAATTTGATTACAAGACTGTACAACACTGTGAATTAGACAGTGGCTGCAGTTACAAGCTCAACAAATCTGATTAATATCTGATTTGCAAACCTTTAAAATGACTTAAAGGACATGCAAACTGCACAATTTGATTTGAGTAATTAGAGAGATCATGATGAGACAGAAAATCAAATGACTTTGCTGTTTACATTTCATTTTAATAATTTTTAGCTCTAAAAGTCTGATAATTATCTTGAGTTTGAGTCACCAGCCACTAGAGATGCGCGGATTGCGGTTACAACCGCGGAATCCGCGGTTAATCCGCGGGTACCGCGGATGACGTGACGAAAAATTATATTTTAATTAAATTCGGGCGGGTGGCGGTTTAACTACTTTAAAAAAAAAAAAAAAAAAAAAAAAAAAGATAATGTTAGTATTGTTACCTACATCTGAAAAGACGAGTCTCTGTCTATGCTTGTAGTGTGAAGTGTACGTCATGTCCTTAATTAGCCCATTTCACCTCGTTTTATGTTCTGAAGGTTAAGGTTGTGTCGGGTTATTGATGCCTAAGGTTTACGAGGCACATATTATATGCAGTTTATTTTATTATTTCTAATTTATTTCAGCTGTTTGCCAACACCTAAGTGGATCTAGGGCCACTGATTCATGTTGTGGGATTTGCTGCCCTCTGGTGGCTAAACATGCAAACACACACACTGAACCAATGTTTCTCAAAAGACATTTTCATTTATTGAAAACTTCAAGATATTAATAAAATATTGACTAAAGCTTCTATTATATTATAAAACCAAACATCTTCACACTGTTACACACAATACGTTAAAGACAATAGTAAAAAAACAGCTCTTAGTGTTAAACTTGTTCTGCTGCACCATTTTTATGTAAAGGCACAAATAGTTACAGTAAGGGCTGACTGTGCGCCCAGACTTGTTTTATCCCTGCATTATTTTGTTAGCTCTAAGCATATATAAAATACTTTCAATGGTTCAGTATGTTTGTTTTTTCAATGACTTTCTTGACTCTGTGGTTAGGCCACCGTCCCTCCTCTATGCGTCTACAAATAAAAGGAAAAACAGGTCACTTGGTTAGTGTTTGCCCCTTTAAAATAACTGTATTTAATTAGCCAGTATAAAGCAAATAATTAACTTACCATAGACTCCATTTCTTTTGCATTACCACCTGATTTGTAGCGCCCCGTTTTACTATTCTCAATAAACTCCTGTAAATAAAGAAGATGATAGTTGAAACTTCTATTATTATCTTAAAAGTACATTGTGGAACTTTTCTGGTGGAGGGTCCATCAAATGCTGGTGTCTGTGGAGATGTTTCACAGTATGGTATTAAACGTTTCTATGGAAATCAAACCAGACCAAATTACAGGTCAGATCTGTGGAGAGGCAACCCCGCTCACAGTCTGAATGCCTTTTTGAACATATTTTTGAGCAATAAAATGACCTGTAATTGAATAAATGTAAGGTACATCTCTTTAATGTCATACTGTGGAACATTTCAGGCAGATCAATGACATGTCCACGGAGAAAAGCATTAGACAGACCCTCCATGAGAAAAGTTACACACTGCACCTTTAAAGCCACTGCATTAGTGTACTCTTGTATAAGTGACTCACCATTAGGGCTTTGTCCATGTAATATTCATGACCAGGGCTGCCGTCATTGTATTTGGTGTCCACGGCGAAGCAGAGGAAAAGCACATCCACAACATTCTCAAAAACAGACAGGAAACAGTGCGCCACCAAGAACGCAAACAGACAAACTATGAGCAGAGGAAGGACCCAAACTGTGTACTCTCTCTGGTAGTTTAAAGCCAGGACCCCGGCAAAGGCTGTGCACGATACTATAAGCACCTGGAAGACACAGAGATATGAAAACAAAACAAAACATGAGTGATGACAAAATACAGTGTACAGATACTAGGGATGTAACAATATCCAAATCTCTCGTTATGTTATTTTCACTTTATATATCTCACATGTTTCTGTGCCTCTGGACTAGGCTGTCGAGGCCTCTGAACTCGACCACCGCCTAGTCCTCTTTACACTCGACCCCCATGAATGAATAATGCTCTGTAAAGCTCTGTAAAACTGATACATTATTATTATTACTATTATCTGCTCTGGATGCCTCCTGGGTGCCTGTTCTGTGCCTTGGGGAAGACCCAGGACACACTGGAGGGACTATGTCTCTCGGCTGGCCTAGGAATGCTGACTTAGAGTCCCCCCGGAGGAGCTAGATGAAGTGTGTGTGTGGAAAGGAAAGGCTGGGAGTCCCTGCTTAGACTGTTGCCTCAGCGACACGGCCACGGATAAAGCAGAAGAAAATGGATGGACGGACATCGCACAGTATGATATGAATTGTGATATTTTCTGAAGGCTAAAAAAACTTAATCCAAAGAACTAAGATTTAAAAAGTGCTTAGAACGGTTATTTCTTCATCTAGTCTGCACTGAAACGGAGCAAAGGATCATGGTCTATGTTAGGGATAGGCATGATTAATCGATAATTGATCATTAAGAATTTCATCGATTACGTTCATTTTAATCGACAAACCGAATGTAGGTTGCTGTGCGTAGCGTGACCAAACAGGGGTCCGTACATGTAGCTCTCTGACACTCAGAAGGAGCGAGCAAACACAAACAGTCAGCACGCCTGCAATGTACCGAAGCACAAATGTGTATTTAACGATGATTTGTACAAGAAATTCCACGCTTTCCGTTGCGTTCGGGACAAGTGTGAGTCCATGTGCACAGTGTACAAAGCAGGAACATATGTTTCGGTGTCCAGTGGGAAAAAGATTTGCCAGGTGAGAGTAGCGCAATGTCGATGACGAGGAACCACCTCCCTCCCCCTGTACGGTGTCCTGGTTTTGAATATGGTCACACTAACCTGTATTCCACTGAGTCGTGTCTTTTAATCCGACAGAAACTGACCACATCAGCGACACAAGAGCTGTAGTTTTATCTTAGTCTTGCTTAGTTTATGCAAATCAGCGATGCGGTTTTAAGTTTCGTTTCTGTGACAGTTGCGCAAAACTGAATTAAACACATTATAATGTCAAATGGACTGATGTGGCTCTAGAGTCGTTATGTTTATATGTCGTAAAGTTGAATTTATTTATGCAGATTAGTAGTGCAGATAGTAATAATGATGATAATTTTAATATAAAAACGTTAATGATTAATCGATAATCGATCCTTAATTCTTCCGACGATCGATTAAGAAAATTTCATCGAATGTCCATCCCTAGTCTATGTAGTTCTGTTTTTTTTTTAGCAATTGCTGCACCATAACTATTAATTTAAGAAAAGACACTTGTAATTCGATATACTGTGACGGACCTCGATATTATTTTGAAACCTCTGACGATATTGTTGCATCCCTAAGAGTTATTGGCCAATTTACATCCAAAATTATGAAACGCTCAGTCCATTTCTCTCCGTGTGACCGAAAGCAGCTGACAGTTTTTGGTTAACTCAGTCTTATGATCCCATTTTACTTGCTGATTTTATGTACCTGCTCCCCGTAAAGCACTTTGTGGTCTTAACTTGCTCAATACACACCATTTCCTCTTGTCTATAACCCCCACACGTGACTCATTACTGTTTTATCTGCCCTGTCCTTGGTTTAGTGTTACTTTATTACGAAGCATCTTTGTGTTACTGTGAAAAGTGTTATATAAATAAACTTACATCTTAATCTTTGTGTCAATATTGTCAGGATAGTCAAATTTCAAACTGGATTTCGATACTAAGGAATAGACTTGGTACTCAATACAGATTTCAACACCCCAATGATAATAAAGACTCTTAAGACAACAGAATATAATTTTCAATATTAAATAATTGTATTTTCTTTTATAATACCATTTGACCATATATTTGTATAATTCCTCAGTGGTCCAGGTAGACGTGCTCTTATATATTTGTTCTGATACAGCTCAAGATCATTTTAAAGCGATTAAAAAAAAGGTTCATTTCTATCCTGTGAATGTAACTTTTTAGTACTGAAGCAGCTCCAATGAATATCTAGTTTCGATACTAGTTTTAATATTGATTAGGATCTGATTTTCAATACCTCTGACACACCTATATTCACAACCATCATTATGTTTGCTTTACCTTGCCTAAGAAGAGAACAAAGTCTCCCACAGTGTTTATAGTTGCCACACGGAGGGCGTTTTCCACCAGGATCACAAAAGCATCACGGGCCGAAGTGCAGAAGTTTGTGCTGTTAATTGCTGTAGCAGTGTAAGCATTCTGTAACAGGAAAGAAATGTAATAATGAATAATGTCCAAGACGGATGTGTCCTTGATCTACAACTTCAACTTAGACAACGTTTATTGATCCACAAGGGAAATTAATTTGAACACAGCAGCTCACACATCTCAATATATTATAATAACAAAGAGAAAATAAAAAATAAATATCAATGGTAGTAATAAATTTGTAGCAAAAATAACAAGATACTGATGTCAAATATGGCATAATTATGTAAATATAAAACAAAAAAGAAAAGAACATAAATATAATAATGCGACCTCTTGTATATAGCTGAGAGATCTATTTGTAAGGAGAAAACAACACAAAGATGGAATAATACTTACTTGATTCAGGTATGCGAGGCACTTCTCGAGACACCACAAGCAGCAGACGCAACATTTCACCATACAGCGAGCACAGGCATTTTCCTAAGAACATAATTTCCATTTAGTGTGATGTCAGGCATGTATAATTATCCACTTTAAAAGCTGCAGTATGTAACTTTTTGGTTGGGGGTCCGTCACCTGCTTGTTTCTATGGATATCTCTTTTCTCTGCCTAACTTGGTCTGGTTTGGTCTCCATGAAGACATGTTTCAGACAAAGCAACAACATTTCAAGAAAGAAAAGTATCTGACGGACCCTCAACCAGAAAAGTTCCACAATGCACCTTTAACACAACATGGTCCTCACCTTTCCTTTGAGCTGGGTGTGGATATATGTGAGGATGAGACGAGGGATCTTAACTAGAGTGATGATGAATGAACCTTTGGCCAGCGTTCCCAGGTGATACCGAAGTGTACGGCCCATTGCTTTGAGAATTGGGATGGACGTCATCTGGGATTTGTTCCTTTAAAAACAATTTTAAAATGATATTTAAAGACTGGAGCTCACACGCAATACTTCATAAATATTATAGCAACTGTAGACATATTGATGCTTTGTAGTGACATCATGCTGGAGGTGTTCTACATGTATCTCTAATGGCGGAATGTTCAGCAGTTACCATGGTGAAACAATGCACATATTAGCCAACAAAAAAATGTTTTTAAGACAGATTAGACAGGACTTTTTCATGAGTATTTACACTAAATTTTCAGGAGCCTCTGGTCAATACGAGCGTTCATGGTCCTGTTCAGGTGTTTGATTTTCAATAAAAAAGGAGAGAATAAACTGTTTGACTAATTTTCTGTGTGAGAGACTTGTTTAAATTTCACCTGTTTAGCTCCAACCAAGTCGGCCTTTAGTGGTCCGATTCTGTTCTGCTCAGATTAAGTGTAACTTCCTTAACAGACTAGTGCTTCCGGTTAGCATCACACCCCAGGGAAAGTTGATGACATCAGCTGCAAAGTACCAATACAGTACACATTTATACTTGCAGTGCTGTTGGCTGCTAGTACCTGGTGAAGTAGTAGGTGACCACAGCTCCAGCTACGGTCATCTGCTGAAAGGCCAGAATGAACTCACTGATCCAGATGAGACCCACCGCATGATACCACACCATGTACTGAAGAGGGCCCGCCAATTTATACTCAACAAGGTTGGTAGAATTGTTCTTAATTCGGTGTTCCTAAGGAAGAAAAAATATTTCACACGTTATAAAATACCAGAGCTATGCTTATTTTTGGGGTGCAAAAAAATTCATAACACTGGCACTGCACATCATTAAAGGGCCCATTTTACACGATTTTCACTTCTATGTTATAATGATGTTTCCTCATCAAAAACAGACCTGGAGTTTTACTGTTTCATTGACACATGTTTAACACAAAAATCCTGAGGTGAGTTCTTCTCTCAAAACTGAAAACACTCTGTTCTACTTTGTGATGTGCTCTACTGTGTTTTTAAACTCCATACCACTTCACTACAATCATTTGGATAATTTCAGTTCCTGAATGGCCAATCTCTGTTTGCCATTCTGGTAGCTGTTTACATGAAAATTACCACTACATGACATCACAACGTGGAACAGAGTATATTGAGATCTGGTTTCAAACTAATAATAAGAAGATCACCCAAACATGTTTGAATGAAACAAAACACTCATCATGTCCTTGATATGCAAACAGTATAACTTGGCTTAAAGCTTACAAGGATACATATATAAAATATATAATATACACATAATATAAATATATTTAAACAATCCTGTAAGTTAATTCTAAAAAAAAGAAACTTCAAAGAATTTGCTGCCGAAAAACAGAAGTGGGAGCTGAAGAGAGAAGTTGTTCACTGACGGCATCCTCCCCCCATCACGAGGCAAGCAAAATATTCCAAAAGTGGGAGACAAATCAAGCTTTGAGAAACGTCACAATGTCACAAGAAACAGATGCAATCTTCATTTTGGAAACTATTTAAAGCAGAAAAAAACTGTGAGCTTTTAACAATGTTATAGTTGTTTTCCCTCACCATTTCCTCATCTGAAGTTGTATTTGGAGTGATTCGTGCATACTAGAGCAATCTTTAATCTCTTCTTTTCAAGACGTCATTTTGTGGATCAACCCCTGTTTTCACCGCCAACAGCATATGCCCACTGCTCTGTACCAACTTTGTTATTTTCTTAAACTGGTGATATGCGTAGGATTTGTCAGCGTTACGTAGTCATTTTGGTACAAATGAAAAATAAATGGCTACAGCTGCACAGCTCTCACTCCCACTGGGCACCACAATTTTCTAAAGCGCAAGTTTGAGATGAATAATGTCCAAATTAATGCATAATGCTTTACAGGTGTAATCAATTAAAAATATAGAGCAGACACAAACACAACAGGCCTTCTTTGATATAAGCATAAGCAATAAACCACTACATTGAAACCTTGGTGTAAAATATTTCTGTAGAACAATAATCTGACCTGCTGTCCCGAGAAACAGCAGCACAGTGATCCAGTAAACCCAAAAGAGCATGAGGCAGAGGAAGGTCCAGAAAGGCTGCAGCACCAACAGAGGCAGGTGGATGAACACTTTCCCCGCCACGTGGAAGAGGGCGATAGTGAGCGAAACTCTCTTCCTCATGAAGAACATCACAAGCAAGAGCACAACCTGGAGGAGACAAACAGCCTCATGTAATACAGTCTTTGTATTAAAGGGCCCATATTACACTATTATCTGATCTATGTTATAATGTTCCCACATCATAAACAGACCTGGAGGTGTGTTTCGTTTCCTTCACACATGTTTAACACACAAACCCTGCATATTTAGGCTGAGTTCTTCTCTCACTCAACTGAAAAGGCTCTGTTCTATCTTGTGATGACATGTGATAATACAGGAAGTGCTCCTTACGACTTCCCTAGAATCATTTGGATGACTTCAGCCCTGGAATTTCCTGTCTCCACTACACTAAAAGTAAAAGGCAGTTGTTAACTTGACCACTACTGCTTCATGACATCACAAGGTGGAATAGAGCATTTTGAGCTTTTGAGATATAGACAGACTAATAAGAAAAAGTTACTCAAACATGTGTGAATGAAACTAAGCACAACTGCATGTATGTTTTCGATGAAGTAACAGTATTCTAACATGGCATAAAGCTCACAGGAGTCAATTTTTGCGTAATATAAGACCTTCAAGATTTATGCCGAATGAGCAGTTGTCCTGTCTTACCGTGAAAACTGTAGCTCCGATGGCGTAGATGAGCAGGGCTTTCACATTGTCTGCTTCCACTTCTTTCCCAAATACATTTGTTGTATTACTATTAAGAGCTTTTCTGTGGTCGGCATACAACCACCAGAGAACACCAACGCCACCTGCAAATGTACAGTTATCGATTATATTGTATTTTATGACATTAAAAAAATATAGGCATAGGATGAGACAATTCCCACAAGACAAAACGAGACACGAGATTGGGTCCAGGAGAATGAGACAAGGCGAGCTTTTGAAATATTTGTAATAAATAAATCGTCCAATCCAGTTCAGAATTTTGGCCAAAGATTACTTACGTTTGTTGTCATTACAGTGTTATGTTTTGAACTATATCTCTCAAGTATGTGTAAGTGACGAGCATGTAATGTTTTTGTCCAGTCGAAATGTGGATGCATGGAAAGAAAATCTCACAAGATCATTTTCATCATGTTTTGTCAGTTTTGTCTTGTGAGATCTTGTCCCATCCTTAATAAACATTATGGGATAAAAATTACCTATGGAGCAAATAATGACCAGGATTGTTAAGATCCACACCAGCACTCTGGAGATGTATCGAATCACGACCATCATGGCCAAGGACAACGCTACAGACAAGAAAATGCATTTGATGTAAAAATAAAAGCAACAAATAAAGTAAATTTGATTCATATTTTTGTTTGTTGCCGTGAAGTTACATAGAAGTATAAAAACAAACAAACATATAAACAATTACTTTTATATTTGACATTGACGTTCTTGTCCTTACATTTTGTTTGAAAACTAATAAAGAGACTGAATGTATATATGACATTTAAAAAAGTATATTCTAAGATAGGGCTGGGCGATATGGATCAAAAAATATATCTCGATATATTTTGCTATATCTCGATATACGATATATATCTCGATATATGTTCAAGAAAAAATAACCCCCTAAAACTGAAAACTGCAAAAACAAATCTGCCAAATTCCACAAGGTCCTTTTTTTTTTTTAAATTGAAGTGTAAGAGGTCAGCAGTTCATATAGGAACATTTAAGATTACAAAAAAAACCTAATTACATAAATAATAATTTAACTGTAAAATAAAAGAAATAATACATATTTCCTTCTTTTCATTCATAAATAAAACAACTCAAAACAAGCTCATCTTTGCATTAACTCTGTTATCCAAACCAGAACCAGAACCATGAGCTCATTTAGCAGAAGAAGCTCAGGATGTTCCTTATTTCAATAGATCCATGTTATTATCCAGCAGTGAGGAGCTCTGAGGTTTAATCCCACAATCCACTGCAGATCAAACCCAACGTTTCCAAACACTATTGTACAAGTGACACTGCAGCAGATTATTAATTAAAATATTCTGCATAAATAAACTTTACATTGCTAAACTTTACAATATATAAAGCATAACGAATATAGAGCCACATCAGCCCGTTTGCGATAATAATGTGTTTAATGCAGTTTTGCGCACGTGTGTTTACATTTTACAGAAACGAAACTTAAGCGCATGGCTCATTTGCATAAACAGCGCACTTCTCATGCAGCTCAGCTCGTTTAGCTTCTTTCGGGCTAAAGGTCGCGACTCGGTGGAATATGAGGATGTGCTGCTGATGGTTTTGTCTGCAAATCGTGGAAAAGGTTCGTGGTGCTTGAAGTTTTTCACTGGCACCAACTTTCGGCGTTCATGGCGGTAGTGAGAAGTGAAGGAGACACGAGCGAACAAAATTAGGGAGGCGGCGGCGCGCGGGCGACGAGAGAGAAGGTAAACAAGTGAAGCGGCGAAATCAGAATTTAATATAAGCATTATATCGATATATACGATATGTCAGAATTCATATCGAGTTTAAAAACTATCTCGATATATTTAAAATATCGATATATCGCCCACCCCTATTCTAAGATATTCTATTTACAAATGAGTTTCATATGGTTTCAAACTAAACGCCTGCTTATCTGGCCTGTTGTTACATATTAAAGTGACTCAACAGACATTTCCTGTTATTCTCAGGATAAAAATAGCTTGTTCTCCAGATTGCCGTCCTAAAGCCTGGACAAAGGAAGTGAGAAATGCGAATATAAGAAAAGGAGAGTTCATACCCAATGCCAACAAACAAAGCCCCATAATGATCTCCTTGCTGGCCATCACCCCGGCTGTAATCCGGTGTAAAACGCTGTTGTCACTGACGAATGTGACAAACGCCTGGATGAACTCTGCGTAACAGTCAATCTCCACAGGAATACACCGATGAAAGAGTGGGACTGATTTACTGCAAATGGAAAGAAGAGAAAAATGTCAACACATACAATACAGACACATAATTTATGTTTAATAAATCAATAAGTAAAAAACCTTGCATGTACTGGGAGTTTGGGACACTTAGTCGCCCGTTCTGAGTGACTCGTGTATCGTGCAGGAGTAATGTCATAGGTGCAAAGTTCTGATCCTGTGAACAGAGAAAATATATATTTAGAAAAACATTTTAGTTTTGTAGAGGAATGTACTTGTAATAAAATGTAAAAAAAAAAAGTTATTTGTAATACTTAGAAGTGAACCTAGTAAGAAAATGCGCAATTAGACAAATCCAGAAGACACAAAAATGTGTTTTCGTGGAATAACATTGTATGTAAGACTTTGGTTCACTAAACATGGCCTAATGTGAGGTAAACATGTTAAAATCCAAAATCACTTTTTCTGATAACAACTGTAACAATGATTTATTGTTGCTTACAGAAACATTGGACATGATGGCCAAGTTGTTTAGGTTATAATTTGTTGTTTTGGTTCTCAAGATAATTATCCATTCAGAAAGCAGAATGAGCCTCACATGAGTCATTTCGGTTGCCAGTGGCAACTGGGTTAAGGCAGGTTGTGATGGTAGTAAGATTTTAAAACTAAGAGTGGAGGCTACATACAATCCTTTAAAGTAAATAAATATATACAATTACTGTAATAATGCTATAAATGATAAAAGAGCGCAGTGACCCACTAAATACATGATTAGATTACAGTGACAGTTAAAAGTGACGTTGCACAGAAAGATTAAATGATGATTCAACATGTTTATCTGTACAGAGGAGATGTAGAGTGTAATAACAAATGACGTTAATTATAAATTGAAGCAAATCTTGAGAACATATATATGTGATTTTTTTTCATTTCTTACCATTTTGGAGTGCAAACTGTTTTATATCATAGTAGGTCTTTAGCTGAATGGAAGGGCATTGGAAGACACACAGGGCTATAGACTTGATCTTTCTGTTGATCAAATCAAAGTTGCATGGCTCTAGGAAGAAAACATAACTGAAAGAAAAAAAAAAAAGTATTAATTTCTCCAAATAATAACTAAAGCCTGTTCAACCATACATCAGCTGCTCTGTGTTTACCATGGCAGTCTGCACCAAAATAAAGCCTGGTGACATTTACTCCCCAGACTCACAGACCCGTCTTTGTGGCAGAAACGTCTTTTGTTCAAAGCGTTCATGCGCAATCGGCCCATCTTTAAAACATGACCCATTGTTTCAGCAGAACCAGGCTATAGCACAATAAAATCTACTCTCAAAACAAGGCTTTTCATAATGATTATCAATTACTGAAATATTAGAACGATATTGTGGGTTCTCTATAGTTGACAGAATAACACCAGCAAGTTAAACTAAACCAAATGGACATACTTTTACTTTTGAAGACCAGGTAGCTTCATCAGGGCTTGTTTTTATACTGTTAGCTTAGTTTAACTCATAATATTTTATTCCTGATGTCTTAAAATATTCATTAGTTACCAGGATAACCTAATTATTATTGTTTTTATTTTGCATTTGTTATAATATTGTAATGTGTGTCCTACTGTATCCAAGTAACGCTCACTGGATTAAAAAGATTATCTAAGTCTATGTAATTAAATAGCTTGCACTGTTTTCAATGATTAAAAATGCATATTGTTATTGTAAAGTGTACAGGGATATTGCATGTTATTAAAACTCACTTTTTTTCTCTCATGTCTTGACCGCTCAGCTCCACTCCTTCGATCTTGGTGTTCTTCTGTCCACAGGTGTTACCATAACTGTCATATCCGGAGATAAGTCTGGAGGCCGCTCCGGTAAAAATAGCAAAACCACATATACACAACTGCAAAAGAGGAGAAAGAAAAGAAAAAATGTGTTTTGTTTGGACATTTTTTGGATCAGTGATAATGGCACCATGGAAGATCTCCATAGCTGATACTGAAGAGGAGGAAAATGGAAAAGAAAACGATACAACACGATACTTCAAAGTAACTAACCTACGCAAGAACAAGTAAAATTGTAGTGAATATGTATATATAAAGTATATAGATTTAATATGCCATTACCAGAGTTTCCCCATTAATAAAGGAAACTGCAGCGCTTCCCCATAGTCTAATATTCTTCCTCATAATCTAAAAACAAACTTAGGCTACATTGGCATAACAAAAATAAAAAGAGACTATGGTGGTCAAATGTGACTATCTAAAATACTGGCAGTAAGTGACATTTATACCTGAGAAATTGAATGAGACAAAACATATGAAAATACCACCATAATCTTAAACATTAAGAGAAACACTGCATTACTCTTATTACTTATCTGTACATGCAGAAAAAGTGAGTAAGCAAGTTAAAGTTTTAATTTTAGTTTTGTTATGTTCTAGAACAAGATGAAAAAGTAAGATATTTCATTTAAAAAAAAATCTAATCTCTGTAATATTTGTAAAGAGACGCTATTATGTACTTAACTGTATGGTGACGGTTTAAGTATATGGTGAATGCTGACATTACTTTGCAAGTGATGACAAACAAAACTGCTAAGAGAAGTGTGAAAAATCCCTCAGTCGTCCAGATAGAATCCATGGCAAAGGAGAAATTCAATTTGTCAGCTGGACAAAATAAACCAAATGAACTTTTGTCCAACTGACAAATTGAATTTCTCCTTTGCCAGGGCTAAGAGAAGTAAGATATTTAAATATTTCAAATCGAATTTCTCTAATACTTGTAAAGATACACTATAATGTACTTAACTATATGGAAAATGCTGACATTACTTTACAAGTGATGACAAACAAAAGTGCTAAGACAAGATATATTTTTAAACCCAAATTTCTCTCATATTTGTAGAGATACATTATAATGTATGGTGAAGGTTTAACTACATGGTGAAAGCTGACATTACTTTGCAAGTAAACAAACAAACAAAAGTGCTAAGAGAAGTATGATATTTCTTTAAAAAAAAATCTAATTTCTCTAATATTTGTAGATACACTATAATGTACGGTGAAGGTTTAACTATATGGTGATTGCTGACAATATTTTACAAGTGATGACAAACAAAAGAATATCATGTAGATGGAATATTGTAAAATAGGGGTAGGATTAAATACACTATGCTTTTTAACAATTTTTCTCCTTTCTTAAGTAAATGTATATGTTTTGAATGTCTTTCCAAGTATGGAGACTATATGCTGTGCTTTCTTTAATTATAAAATGTTAAATAAAGTAGCTCCAGCTCACATAAGCCTGTTGTTATTCTACTTCTCCGGCTGTAAACACTCACCATCCCCAAACAGAAAAGCATGAACAGGAGCAGCCATGGTATGTCTGTGCAGCTGCGATCTTCCAGCGGTTTCCAGTCTCGTTTGCCCTAAACACGCCAAGAAAATCAGATCCCTCCTACATAACAACAATAATCGTGCACAAAAGCGAATACAACTAGTAGTTTTTTGCACTAATTTACCTCTTTACTCTGACAACATCCCATTATGCGCAACAAAAGTGGGACAACTCCTCACAAGTAAACGAAACTTCAGACTCGACTTAGACGCATGCCCTTCTCTTTCACTCACCGGATTCCGAAAGTGATAATTGTTTTAGAAATTAGCTTAATCCAACTTTGTTTATACCGCGCTAAAGTTATAATCTACGCCCATTAGAGTCTCGGGGCGAGGGCAGGTAAACGCGGAAGAAGGAAATGTTCTGGTGCTGCCTTCTAGTGTCATGGGAAAATACTAAACAGCACTCAAAACGCACTATATATATTATTTAACATTTTTTGGTTCGGCATTTTTAAGATAATTTACAATAATCGTGCAATTTCAGAGAAAGTTACGCCATTTTTTTCTAGAAAAGTACACATCTTAATAAATAAAAACGTAAAAAATAAGTCTCCTTAAAATTCTGAAAGTTGGCTAACTTGCTTAACACGTGTTGGATTTGTCGCCCTGCACTGGTCACATGAAGACTTGCCTCTGATTTTTACTGAAAAGTTGATTTCATAAAGGTAAAAAAAGTAGAATTTGCACATGCACAAATGCACAAAATGTTATGTTATTTTGGTGATGTTGCACAATTTGTTCATCAGACAATAAGGTAAGATATGTTGTTTATTTTCGCGTTATGCATGGCAATTTATTGTTAATAATGTTGCTATGTTTATATCCGATTAAGAAATGATCATACCTATTGTATCCAAGCAAAGTGACAACCATAGTCTATGGTGACAACATATTGACAGAAAATAACAACTTTTTTTTTTTTTTTAAATGCATTACTAGCATTACACAAATCATTATGGGGGTTTGTCGCCACCATCTGTTTGTGTAACGTAATAATACACTTAGCTCATGCATAGCTCATGATTCATTCAACAGGTGCCTCAGAAGAATATGCTTAATTCAGAGAGCCCAAATTTATGTTAAAGGTCCTATATTATGTAAAAACTGATTTCTGCAAACTTTTATGTCATAAAGTTGTTACCTCCTCAATAACAGACCCGGATCTGTGTTTTGTTTCATTTACACGTTTGAGTAACTTTATCATTACTCTGTCTACATCTCCAAAGCTCAAAATGCTCTGTTCCACCCTATAATGTCATGAAGTAGTAGTTTTTATGTTATGTTTCATGTTACCTTTTACCAGATTGTTAATGCCAAGGGTCAAAAGATCAAAATTATTCTAGTTAAGGTGTATGAAGCTTAAAAACACAGTGGAGCACTTCCTGTATTACCACATGACATCACAAAGTGGAACAGAGTACTTTCTGTTCGAGAGAAGAACAGAGTTTAAATGTACAGGTTTTGTGTGTTAAATGTGTGAATGAAACGAAACACAATTCCAGGTCTGTTTTTTATGAGGAAACAACATTATAACAGATCAGAAAATAGCATAATACAGGCTCTTTAAGGATTGTGCAACTGAATGTATGAAGCTGAGCCACTTTGGTTGAATCGTGCAGTCATGTGAGGTTTTTTTTCCTCTAAAATGTAATGCAAAAACATTTCCTACGAATTTCCTGAGTATAGTCTTATGATTATTTATAGCGGAAAGACGGTTACAGATGACTGCTCTCCAAAAATGTCCTCAGTATGACCCACATCAATGGAAGAATAACCACGTAAGTGAAATTCTAAGTATTAAAACACACAAACCTTCTCCCTTTGACTTAAATATTCCCCTGTAGACTAAAATAACCTGGATTATGTATCGTCACAGTCACATTAGACTTTGTTGCTCATTGTATCATCATAAACTTGAAACATCATTGCTCAAAAAAGATTAAATATAGGCACTAAGTGATATTTATACTTCACAAATTGAATTAGATTAAACTGTTAGAATAAAACAAAACCTATAAGAAACACCCTAAATCATCTGAAACACAATGAACAGTATCATATAAAATCTATTTTGGTCTAGTTTGACATTTTCAGGCCTTTTCCGTGTTTTCCAAAGAGAGGATTGTGTTTTATTATCTATTGTGTTTTTTATAACGAGTTATTTCAGTATTTAAGTAGCATTTATTTCATTGCTAAGGACGAAAGTAAACTTCAAAAACTGGGATAAAACATTGCTCAACACATGGCGCCCATTTGCACCTTAATCTGATGCGAATGTTACTTGTGAGCAAGAGTGAACGCAGATGTTGGGTGGTTTTAGTTGGACTCGAATTGTAAATGAACACAGATCGGAAGCATGTCTTCTTCTGATCAAGTCATGACACCACTTTTTGGCCATTTCACATCAACGAGTGGTGGTCCAAGTGACGAGTGTGCTATGGCAACCGTATCTAACGACAACAGATTACATGGGTCTTATAATGCGATGCTCAACGCCAGCACAGCATATGGTCAGCAGAGATGTGGGTGGGGGGTGTTAATGTGGTCCAAGAGAAAAAGATAGTCAGTTGTTTTTGTTTGGGGAGGAAAACACATATGTAATGTAAGATGTTGCGACACTTAAGCATGGGGCAAAGTGACTGTTTTGCTCATTGTAATTCTCTAGAAAATTGAGTGTTTATATGAAGAAATTACGCAGCTGCATCATGGATCATTTTGGTAATTGCGTTACCAGAATGATCCATGATGTACTAATCTCTCACTAACAAGTTGTAGAAATCATAAAACATCAAGACAATGGGCCTGCTACTTCTTCTAAAGGCACTATAATGATTAAAGAAAGTTAAAGTTATTACACTAAAATGATTCTTCTGAGCTTAAACCATGTTTGAATGTTGTTAACTCATCAAAAATGTACCTGGAGTTGTGTTCTGTTTCATTCTCCAAAGCTCAAAATGCTCCACCTTGCCATGTCGTGTAGTTGTAGTTTTCAGATTAACAGCTACCTTCTACCTTTAGTTCAGTAAAGATAAGCAATTCCAGAGCTGAAATTATCCAAATTCTCAGCCTAAATATACAGGGTTTGTGTGTTAAACATGCGTGAAAGAAACAAAACGCAACTCCACTTACTGTACGTCTGTGATGAGGAAACAGCAGTATAACAAAGATCAGAAGACAGTGTAATTTGAGGTTCTTTAAGCATGGAGCAAAGTGGTAATATTTCTCATTATAGTTCTCTACAGACAGTTGAGTATTTACATGGAGAAATTATGCAACTATATCATGGATCATTTTGGTGATTACATTATCTGATCTGTTGCCATTTCCACACTAACAAGTAGTAGAAATCATAAAACATAAAGACAATGGACCTACTTCCTCTTCTAAAGGCAGTATAATATTTAAAAACATGGCTATTACGACAATTATTATGACTAACGCAACACTAACTTACTCACTTAAGAAAGTTAAAAGTCCTATATGACTCAAAATTAATTCTTGTGAGCTTAAGTCATGTTAGAATGTTGTTAACTCATCAAAAATGTACCTCTGTTTTGTTTCATTCACACATGTTTGAGTAATCCTTTATTATTACTCTGTCTACATCTCCAAAGCTCAAAATGCTCTTTTCCACCTCACAAAGTTATGTAGTGGTAGTTTCAAGTTAATTTCAGGGCTGAAATTATCCAAATAATTATTTTTGAGAGAAGAACTCAGCCTAAATATGCAGGGTTTGTGTGTTAAACATGCGTGAAAGAAACAAAACGCAACTCCACATACTGTAAGTCTGTGATGAGGAAACAGCAGTATAACAAAGATCAGAAAACAGTGTAATTTGGGGTTCTTCAAGCATGGGACAAAGTGCTCATTATAGTTCTCTAGAGACCTAGAGACAATTGAGTATTTACATGAAGAAATTATGCAACTACATCATAGATCATTTTTGTGATTACATTATCTGATCTGTTTCTATTTGCACACAAACAAGTAGTAGAAATCATAAAACATAAAGACAATGGGCCTGCTACCTCTCGTAAAGTCACTGTAATGATTAAAAACACAGCTATTGTGAAAACTAATATGACTAACGCAACATCAACTTGCTCACTTAAAAAACTTAAAAGTCCTATATTACACTAAATTGATTCTTGTGAGCTTAAGCTATGTTAGAATATTGTTAACTCATCAAAAATGTACCTAGAGTTGTGTTTTTTTCATTCACACATGTTTGAGTAACCTTTTATTCTGCCTATCTAAAGCTCAAAATGCTCTTTTCCACTTCACAATGTTGTGTAGTTGTAGTTTTAACAGCTACTAACAGTATAGATGGGAAATTTCAGGACTGAAATAATCCAAATTCTCAGCCTAAATATGCAGGGTCTGTGTGTTAAACATGCGTGAAAGAAACAAAACACAACTCCACATAATGTACGTCTGTGATGAGGAAACAGCAGTATAACAAAGATCAGAAAACAGTGTAATTTGGGGTTCTTTAAGCATGGGGCAAAGTGGTTATTTTGCTCATTATAGTTCTCTAGAGACAATTGAGTATTTACATGAAGAAATTATGCAACTACATCATAGATCATTTTGGTGATTACAGTTTCTGATCTGTTGCTATTTGCACACAAACAACTAGTGGATTTCTTGGCTTGTAATAATAAATCTTTTAGAAAATCTTGGTTTATTTGGCTGCTACTAAAACCTGCTACCTCTTGTAATGCCTCTGTAATGACTGGAAACACAGCTATTATGACTACTAATATGATCAACTTAAAATACTTAAACTTCCTATATTACACAAAATGGATTCTTGTGAGTTTTGAGCCAAGTTTGAATGTTGTTACCTCATCAAAAATATACATGTGTTTTCATTCACCCATTGAGTAATCCTTTACTATTAGTGTGTCTACATCTCCAAGCTCAAAATGCTCTGTTCCACCTTGTGATGTCATGTCATAGTGGTACAGTTTTCACGTCAACAGCTCCTTTTACCTTTAGTTCAGGAGAGATAAGCAATTCCAGGGCTGAAATTATCCAAATAATTCAATTTGAGAGACGAACTCAGTCTAAGTAGTGGATTTCTTGGCTTGTAATAATAAATCTTTTAGAAAATCTTGGTTTATTTGGCTACTACCTCTTCTAATGCCTCTGTAATGACTGGAAACACAGCTATTATGACAACTAATATGATCAACTTAAAATACTTAAAGGTCCTTCTTATATTATACAAAGTAGATTTTTGTAAGTTTTGAGCCAAGTTCAAATGTTGTTACCTCATCAAAAACATACATGTGTTTTGTTTCAGTCACACATGTTGGAGTAATCCTTTATTATTAGTCTGTCTACATCTCCAAGCTTA